AGAGAGAGAGAGAGAGAGAGAGAGAGAGAGAGAGAGAGAGAGAGAGAGAGAGAGAGAGAGAGAGAGAGAGAGAGAGAGAAAACACACACACACACACACACACACACACACACACACACACACACACACACACACACACACACACACACACACACACACACACACACACACACACACACACACACACACACACACACACACACACACACACACACACACACAAGAAAACGAAAGCGAATTCATTCATACTCGCACTCACTCACTCTCTCATGCTCCTCTTCTTCATCTTCTTCTGCTGGTGATGCTGCTGCTGTTGATGATGCGGCTTGAATGTGATGGCTCTCAATCGCTAGCTCACGGGCCTGTGTGGATATCCCTGCACTATGGGCATTGGGTGAGCCATCACGAAACGGAAGCTTGAGGCCCAATCACCCGGACAGCCAGCCATACGTCTCAACCACCATAAAACCCAAAGGGACATATCGTGAGTACACTGTGTGCTTGTAAGATCAAAGTGTTTCTCTAACAACTAGCTTGGCATGAGAGATCCAAACAAGCCAGTTTCCAGTCCGCCATCGAGCTGACTATACGATTGAACACCTCACCCCTCACGGTGTCGCACAGCTGATCGAAGGGGACAAGAGAAGACCTGAACACGCCAGAAGATCAGGAAGCCATGGCGCGCATTGCTGTTAGCAAGGTGAATTGATGCGGTTCCACTGACGCATGGCTTGCCTTTGCGACTGCACCGTGCCGTGCCCTCACTGAATTACCCTTCTCTCGATGCACGCGGCAGGTGTGGCGCTTTGAAGGTCATGGCGCCGTCACGGGCTCGCCCAACCCGCTTCAGGTTAGCAGCTTCCATTTTTACGATGCAACGATGCAATGACACACCGATGCAAGGCCACATCCATCAGCCAGCCACCTCTGGCGCCTCGTGCTTTCGGGCCGCAAACACATGTCCGACTACTCGAAACGCCATCATCCCCCGTTCTGATTCTTGCTTTGATGCTACTCCTCCCCCGCTCACCCGCGTCCGTAGCTGGACATCCCAGGCAACAAGCTCGCAGTCAACAACACCTATGGCCTGCTTGCCTATGCCCAGAGTGGCGGCGTTGGCCTGTGCCAGCTGGGCGCTGCCCTCACCGAATGCCGACCCGCACACAAGGAGCTTGTCGTACCCGCCTCCCAGGTGACCGTGCAGACCAGTGAACAGCCCCAACACGTAGCTTTTAGCAGGTAGGTGTGCTCCCCGATGTTGCCCCTATGCCTTTGGGTCATGCTCGCCCCGTGTGCCTCGCATTCTCCCAAGAGTTGGGCGTTCAAGGCAGGCACAGTCCATCCCTCATCTACGTTGTCGCTCTTGCACAGTGATGGCGAGACTTTGGCCGTGGCTGTTGGCAAAGAATGCCTCTTGTATGATGTAGCAGCCTGCTTTCATCAAACCGAGCCGATCAAGCCCTTTCAAACCATTGCGGTCGCTGCCACCATCCGCGACGTCGCATGGAACCCAGGTTTTCGCAAACTCTGGTACGATGCACCCTCTTCTCAGAGTTATTCCAGTCCCATCCTGCGTGATCTGGCTTGCGGGCTACACTGGCTGGCTGCAGCTCGTGCTCTGTCCTACCTCGACGCTCGTTTTTGACCATCCACCTATCCTGATGGTTGTATTGTGCGGCGTCTTTCTCACTGTG